TGGAAGCTCATATTCAAGCTACCATTGACGCCATACGGCCGGATTTATTATTTATTTATAGAAAACGTAGTGAAAACTTGGACTGATCGAATGGACTATGTAACTCGTAGCCGCAGCGGACATATGACGGAAATCATATTTAAAAAAAATAAATGCCATGAAATTATCTACCGCATTATAATAATAAAAAGTTCATTCCAACAATGTTTCTATTATGTAGTATTATTTAAAGTTCTCAAGCTCTTAAAAACGGCCTTTATTTGTATTTCTCAATGGAGAAGGTTTATAAACAAAAAAATATAACTGAAAAAATTAGAAACAAAGAACAATTTAATTTTTTTGATTTTGTTTGCTATTCTTTTAGCCTCATTTACATTCAGCCCCTGCCCCTGCTCCTCGCGCTGCCGGCAATACTTCCCTAAATACTGCCGTAGCAGGATCGCGGGAAGTCTGTATTCACACTCTGTCCTACCACCAGCGTTGCGATCGATACAGCAATTGCCGTAATATACGGCGTTCCACGATTTTTTAAAGGTTATACGGCATACGGCAGGCTTGTCATTGCCGTATCAAGTATTACGGCAATTTAGCTTTGCGATAAACCACGATGGCAAATTATGAACAAAAAATGTAAATACCTGTATTGATATCCATATTTTTTTCACTTTCGTCATCCCTTAAGTGATAATAAAGAGTATGGTTGTCTATGACGGGAAATTACCGTTCCATCTTTTATTTTATGAGACTAACAAAGATGGCATGAACATGACACATGGTAGACATTGATAGAAGTAATGAATGTAAGAGATACACATATTTACTTTGTTTATATTATTGAATGAATGTACAACATTATGAACTATAAGATGTGTACGGTACTTTTGTAGTATTTACCCTGGCAGTAAATTAAACTTGGATCCAATTTGGCTTTGTTGGAATGGCTGCACTTTCTACAAAAAGCTTAAACTCTTACTTCAAAACACGCGAAAAGGACAAAGACGTCATAGTTGTTTTCTGTCATTGTCGCCACTGGCCCAGCAATTGCCACAAATTGTGGAGAATCAGATAAGCAACGAATTGATGACGAGTGGAGGTAGCTACCAAATGTAAACAAAATTTCAGAATTAGAAATGAAAACATGAATTTTGGGCAAATGTCCAAGATACTACAGACTGCAAAATATTAGCAAATTTTACTTTAGGCGTATTACGTCTATCTACAACATAGCAATGCAGATTGCGAAAGAGTTTTCAGTGAAGTAATCAATATGAAAACAAAATCCAGAAATAAATTGATAACATCCACTGTCAACGGAGCTCTATTAGCAAGACAAGCGGTTAAAAATCAAGGAGGTTGTACGAAATTTCAAATGTCAAATGATATGTGTAAGAAAATGAAAAGCAAAGAAAAATATTAATTACATAGACAAACGAGTGATATTTTCAATCAATCAGAAACCTATATGGTGAAGAAATTTCAGATTTTATGTGATTTATCTAATTATTAGGATTTTTTTCATAAATACGGCAATTTTCGTTTTTAGATACGGCAACTCAATTTTTTACAGTCGCAACGCTGCCTACCACTCACATCGCTTTCGGCTTTCGACTATGGCAGACGTCGAAATCGAAATAATTACAGCGTCCGCGCTGTGTCTTCTTGCAATACAAAATTATGTTAATAATTTAAAAAGATATCAAGTTCAAAAGAAGATAGATAGATAGATTTTATTTGATAGATAGAATTTATTTGCTTAAAAACATGGTACATAAGATCATCAATGACGTGGAACTGACATGTTTCGCCATAATTAGCATGCAAAAATGATATGAAATACAGCTAATTACACAAACCCAATGGTACATTTTAAAATTATTGCATTGCTTAAAAGTTAGTTACAATCATTCTTTTTGAATTCAAATATTATGTAAAATTAAATACATATACAGATCCACTCTATTTGAATTCATATACAGTAAATTGTTCATAAATTATTAATTGAATTATTACATTATTGTTACATAAATAATATTAAATATTATATGAGATTAGTTAAGCTATTATTATTTTTATAATTACACTATAATTTAAAAATCTCAGGTTATTATGCAAATATTACCATTTAACTTATTTTACATTTTAATAAATAAATAATCAATTGAGTTACTAATCGTTTTTAGAAATAAAATTAATGTTAATGTTCATTAATTCCTTAAACTAAATTTTATATTAATATAATAAATTTGACGAATTTATAATTAATTATGTACATAGGTACTATGTTATCTCAAAAAAGAAAATTCGTATTCCTAGAAGATGATGAATTGTGGTTTTTATCGTTGAAATCCCATAGTTTTTTCTGATTCCAGCAGTTCTAAAAACTTTATTGTATTTTCATTATTCAACTCGAAAGGCATTTTGGTAGATCGTATTTATTTAATAACAAGACGGCACGCACGTCCGTTCATCCAGGCGCTTGGCGCGAAGTGAGCGATGGAGCTGAATGTGAACACTCACTTTCGCTCGCGCTGCCCGTCCTTTGACTTCCGCACGAAAAACCGACATTTGAGCGATCGTCGGGCAGTGGCAGCGGCAGCGGCAGTGTCAGCGCGAGTAGCCTGTTTACATACTGCCCTGCTCACTGCCCTGCTCACTGCCCTGCCCAACAGGGCTGAATGTAAATGGAGCATTTCAATCAAGCGTGGCAATTAATAAATTAAATTGCATGCACTAAAATAAACAAAACGTTGCTGAACTGAACCTATGACACTAACCCGCAGGTCAAGTTGTCCGTCTGACGGCTTCAGCTAGGTAAATACATAATCAAACAAAATTAAAATAAATGAAGTAATAAATGTCGTTGTATCTTTTATATCTATAAATAAGTATTCTACCTACTTAACAATTAAAATTCATCACAAATGTTCAAAATATAAATACCTAACATTAAATAGTAAATGAAATGAAATAAAAAAATTTAAAAATAAATATTAACTAATAAAATTAAATAGTTACATACTATTTTAAATATAAATATTCCACCTAGTAGGTACTTTACAGTTCAAAATCGTCAATTTATTAATACGTACTTTGAGTATTGAATACTCAAAGAATACGTATATATATTAATAGTGCCTTCAACCGTAGTACTAATATTTATTCTGTGCTTCAACTCTGTTTTGAAATAACTTACCTACTTTATTATTTATTATTTTATTAGTGTTTAATATATCTTGTTAAAAAGTAAAACAGCCTGATCAACGAAGGCAGTGTTTTTTTGCGCCCGAAGCAAATATGGGCAACCCTCCGGTAACGGGGGAGGGAGGTGGTGAATGCTCATAGCATACCACGCAGCCGGCTGCGTGGTTATGTGGAGACTTTTACCCACTAAACTACACCTTTTAGGAATTGGCTTAACGATCTGACGAGAGATCTTTAAGCCGTAAACGGACGCGACCCTCCTTGGGAGAAAGGAGGGCGCAAAGGCAGTGTTCCACAATCTTAGGTTTAGGCATAATAGTCGAAGTGAAGTCCATCCTTCTGGTGTTTTCTCTCTCCTTAATATCTTCATCAGATTTATAGGCAACAATGTTTTTTAAAAAGTCTATCAGAAGTATATAATATATCAAAGACTAGCTGTTCCTCGCGACTTCGCTCGCGTGTAATCTGGGGTTTTAATTTTTTTGCAAAACCAAAATCTTTTTCTTAAAAATTTTCCTAAGTTACTACTTATAACATCAGTTATCTGACAGTGAAAATGCCAAAGTGCAGTCAAAATCGGTCCAGCTATTTCGGAGATTAGCTGAAACAAACAGACAGAGAGACAAAAATTTTATAAATTGTGTTTTTGTTATAAGTACCTACCGTATATACTTTCATGTACATTTAGTAAAAAGCTGTTATTTTGACATTACAAACAGACACTTCTATTTCATTTATTTGTATAGATGCAAATATTTACTTACTAAGATTCGCGTAATGAAATAAAATAATGTGTCTTAAATAGTTTAAGGAGCACCTCCCCCCTCCCTCATTTGCGTGCACTCCCGTCACCACTTCAGCACCACTACTCCCAACACCACCACACTAGGAAAGACACAACACCGTCGATAATACGACAGGTGCGTCGCCTCCGCACGAGGCATCCTCAGGTGAAGTAGACTCTGCGGCGGCTGACCGCTAAGACATCGTTGTACATATCCGAATCAAGATCGTTGTACATGTCCATCACTAAAATCGGAGTGACTTAGATCATAGAAAGTAGTGATTATAATAATGTCCTCCAGACCGAATTTTGGCGACGGTGGCCTGCCTCAACGGAGGCTAGCCATCGGCGCAGGACAGGATTATAGTGCCCAAGTGTATGCGCAAGCACAGGGGCACTCTCTTTTCCCTCACTCTCATAATCCGATGGGACGGTAAACCGACACGACCGGAGAGAGATCAGGCGCAGGACCAACGGCTTTACGTGCTTTCCGAGGCACGGGGGTGCGACACCGCCAACTTCCTGACTCTTGAATACTACTGCTGCTACTGAGAATTTCTTGACAGAAAAACTCAATAATTAATTTTTAGGCCCGATCCGGGATTCGAACCCAAAACCTCATGATTAGCAGTCGCACTACTACAACCACTAGACCAACGCAGCAGTTAACGAAGTAGTTATTATATTATCTTTGTCCGGTATAGTCCCGCCTGGGTATTTCAAATCATAGTGGGTTCGAAATCCTGAACTAGCAACAGGGCAGATCAATAGCAGCATAACTCGAAGAGCCGATACTGATGTGGAAGAAAATTCGATGCGAGAAGTCGATGGATGCACGTAATTAAGATCCGTGGTTCGTAACATACCTTGTAGGAGCCCTATGATCACCATTGGACTTGTGAAGAGCTGTAATTAAGAATATATCGATGATGATTAGATCGATAGATATTAAGGTTAAGGCACAGAATAAATAATAGTACTACGTAGTTAAGGTCCTAACAATCTGCTTTGTAATTCATAATTTAGAGCGGATATCTTCACTGCGCTCGTTTGTAGGTACGATATTATGAGTGTTATATTGGAATCCCTTTCGATATATTGCCACTACGACCGCTCCTCCGATTCCCAAGTTATGTTGTAGGCCGATTTTCGCGAAGGGTACCTGAGAAAAACAATTGTTACTTGTTTTAAGTGAACTAAACCATATACTTTAGAATGCTTTAGAACTTTAAAAGTTGGGACTGCATATTGAATTCTTCCTTGCCCATAATCCCTATCTTAAAAGAGAAATGAAATGCTCAGTCGAAAATGCTCATAGCATCCCACGCAGCCGGCTGCGTGGTTATGTGAAGACTTTCACCCACTAAACACCACCTTTTTGGGACTGGCTTACCTGACGAGAGATCTTTAAGCCTTTAGGCGCAAGTTTTGACCATCCCGCCAAAGATATTTTATAGGTCCAGATACCGCGTTACACACCGCCCCGTTAATAGTGGCGCCAGTCTAGGCATGCCAATCTGATATCGATCAATCGAAGAATAGATTTCTTGTGCCAAAAAGATCGATTTTTTATCGATATATAGTACTGAATCGATCCAGTGAATCGATAACCCTAGAAAATCGAATCTTTTTCTGTATTCGTAAGAACTATAAAACTATTTTCGTTTACTCAACATAATGTACCCAAACTCGTAAAGAACGACGGTTTTTCTATTCAAAAACTACCAAAACTGCTGTGTGCTCAGTTTCTTTCGCTTCTTCTTAATAGATTAAATAAATAAAAATAAGTTACCTTTGTAACCTATACTTTGTATGACTCTGAAAGCAAATCTAAAGAAGATCGATTTTTGAGAAATCGATCTTTAATTCTTCCCAAAAAAGTTCGATCTTTTAAACCTCGATTTTTTGTGAATCGATTCATCAGATTTCGATTCAAATCGAATTAAAAATGTATTTTTGCGGAAAGAATCGACATCCCAAGTCCACGCCAGTCTTTGATTCATGTGTCTACGAGTACCATGTGACACGCATATTTCACGTACCTTGCCTGCATTAATGTGCGTGCCTTCGGTAATAACTGTGCGAATCGACTACCCAAAAATGTGGGAAATTTTATATTTCATTCATATTGACGTAGCTATTGATTCCACGAGTATAAAATGTCGCAATAAAGTTATTTTTCTGCTTTGAATAGAAAGATACTTGAAATGTTTATATATTTAAAAATAGAAAAAATATGCTGTAATACGACAGGAATACTAGAATTAGCCTAGAATTGGTCTATTAACAATTAGCGTTGAGTTAGGTGGTATTGGTTTTATTATAGTAAATATTTTTAAATAAGTAGTATATAGCCGTTTTTGAAATAAAAAATTACATTTTTTAGTAATTGCCACAATGGAACAGGAAATATAATCTCCAAAATAATTAAAAAATACTTTAAAATAACTGAAAAAGACCTTAAAATAACTAAAAAATACTTCTAATTAATTAAAATAGTCTACAAAATAACTAAAACTTCAAAATTATTTTTAGTAAAGTGTATCATAAAAATTATGACATTCACTAGGTAGTACTTGTTTGAGCTCTTGGATGTATTGATATTTCGAGGCAGATATGGGAATCATATCATTATGTATGTGGAATAAGAGACGTCGGGGTTAAATCGTTTTAGTCTTTTTTCTTTTTTAGTCAAGGCAAACCAACAAACAAGTTGTTAAGAATAGCTCTTAAGTCTGTTACAGTAGGGTCACCAGCTTTACGTCCTGGCCTTATAGTTTTGCAAAGCCAAATGGATTTATCGGCATAATTTTTCACAAAACTAAGGTCAATCTGAATTACTTCGTAGGGATTTGTTGGCTTTGCTTCTTTAGTAACCGAAACATAATCACAATGCAAATAAATTATACGATTTGAGAGCTTCGTTTCAATCACACTGTGAACGGAATCACACTCCATTTGAGCGTGACCACGTTCGAGAAACTTTTGGGTGATGGTGATTTTGTGGTTTATAATCAAGTTCAGAAGCGTATTTGCCATTACAACGTTTCGATTTTGGTACGTGCAACCATCGGAATAAATAATTTTTGGCATTTTCTTCTACTATCTAAAGTACTAATCGTCTCCCTCGTCGAATTGAGTGATTTAGTTGTTGATTGCAAAGAGTGCCGAAGAACAGTTTAAAACTACGATCTCTACGTAGTTTCCGGTTTTTGTCAATTTCAGTTCCAAGTGACATAAGAGTTTTCGATAAATACGGCCGGTATTTCGGTTATCATATATTCATAATGTCCGTGCATGCAAAAAAGAGTTCTAACTGATCTTGGCTGATTCTGTAGGTGGTTATATATTTTAATTCTTGAGTTTCTTCGACCATAGTTTTAAAAAGGTATTTGAAACTCTGTATGCACACTAACATACCTAAGAAACTAGTATTTGCTTCGGTTTTCAGCACCGGGAATTAAGTTTTCAGAATCAATTTCTTTTTGTGCTTTTCTTCGTAAGTACGCTTTCTTGAAGATTTTGTATTGAATTTCGTTATATACTCGTTAGCATAGTTTATAATTGTAAATATTTGAGTTTTATTTCCCGGAAATAGCGGATGACAAAAATTGTGTTGTTTTAAGCTACGAGAGCTAAGCACATCGAAAAGATTATTAAAAATTAGAACAAACTTTCAGTTGCCTCACTTTCTTCGAAAACTTTTCATTTCAAGTCATTCCTACAACACTGCAGAGCAAGTGCAACACTTCTACTACGAAGCTGAGTTGCAAGCTTCAATTTTATTATAGATTTTCTAAATTCTATATGTTTTCTGGTGAATTTATTAGCTTGGTGTATTCAAGATTTTTCTTGTAACTCTTCAGTTTTTGTACGAATGACCACTTTACTTCGTCTTCATTTTCATCTAAGAACGTTGCTATATCTTTAAATTGCTTCCTAATAAGCGTTACCATGTGACAAGCGTCTAAAAATACAGCGACTCTGTGGTACGCCGTTGGACGTTTAAAAGTTGTTCTTAATTTGTCTGTGTTATTTATTCGACAACCCAATAATACCATTGTTAAAATATTTGTTGGGTGACCATCAAACGTTAATGAAACCGTTTTGACACATGCTATATAACATTTAGACAAACACATTCTGATCAAATTGGCCTCCTGTTAATCCATTAACTAGAAAATATCCTAATGGAATTTTTCAGCTTTCGTTAAGACATACAAACATAAATACATATGCTCCAGAAGCTTTGACTTTTCAGTGCCTATGTCCACATGTCCTTGATTTTGCTTTCCGCTTACTAAAAAAAAGGGCTCGAAATAATAGATTTTCTCACAAAAGAAGGGAACTTGAAAAAAAAAAGGAAAAAAAGTCGGACTGAAGCCAGGACGCAAACCAAGGCACTACGGTTTCGCGACGGCCCGATATCCACTTGAGCTGTTACGATCATTATCACAGTGTCAAAATTTACCTGAAAACACGGACAAAATAACATTTTCTAAAAATGATCCTAGCTAGATCGATTTATTACTCCCGAAACTCCCTGGACACTAAATTTTTATGAAAATCGTTGGAGCCGTTTCCGAGATTCAGATTATATATATATATATATATATATATATATATATATATATATATATATATATATATATATATATATATATATACACAAGAATTGTTCGTTTAAAGGTATATAGGATTAACGGAGAGGCTTAGAGAATATTCTGGGTGAGTCAAAGTGAATGTCGATTTGATCGCTGCTTCCATTAATAATTTTGCAGAATCAGGCATAAGGAGAATTCCTTCTCAATACAGTTCTTCTTAATGGTAGACTATGTGGCGCAATAGAGCTGCGGGGTAATCTCGAGGGTACACAAAACTTAAAAAGTTACTTTAAACTGGGGCAATTAAATGTAGAATTAAATATTTTATACACAAAAACTGCATCATTATACTTTCGGCGACTTTCTAAGGTTTCTAAATTTCAATTTACTATTATAGGATATATATTTATAGGATCGAGGATATTTTTAATTTACTATTATAGGACCGTAGCTTTTTTGCTTTACCAACAGAAAATGCTACTTGCCAGAGGAACCGCTTTTGAACACGTTCAATACGTAATGAATGTGTAACATAGTGTGGTCTCCAGACCACACTTACCAACAGAAAATGCTAGATGCCAGAGGAACCGCTTTTGAACAAGTTCAATACGTAATGAATATGTAACATAGTGTGGTCTCCAGACCACACTACAATATTCTACAATATTACGAACTAGACTGTTGTAAAGAAATATTTTAGTTTTGTAATGTATGTAAAATTTTCGAGTTCAAAGCCCAACATTTTAGATGCTCTCATAATAATATTATCTAAATGGGCCTGTACTTCCTTAATTTTTATGTTATAAATAAAGTAACTGACGTGTATTAAATTCTGTTTTCTGGAGTATTTAACATGATAACATTTAATTGTAATTAAGTGCATTCCGTTATTGCAGCACCACTGGATTAGTCATCAACGTCACTTTGTAGTAATTTAGTATCATCATCACTCGTAATTATACTTATAAATTTTAAGTCATTGGCATATAAAAATATTTTGAAAACAGAAAACATTTTTTAATATCATTTATGAAAAAAATAAATAAAACTGGTCATAAAAATGAAAACCCCGAGGAACACCGCAACTTATATTTTTAGTATTTGAATGAAAACTATTAATTGTAACAAAGAAGGCTTTTTGCATTAAATTCGAAATCAACCAATTGAGTAACGCCACAAATAAGAGAACAGCATAGAAATTAAAATCTTCTGCGAAACCTTGCTAAAAGATTTGTTAAAGTCAGTATAAATAACATCAGCCTGATGGCCCATGTCAATAGCCTCATACAGGAACTCCGTAAAGGGAACTAAATTCGTACTAGTGGACCGAGACTTGAAGAACCCATGTTAATTAGCACTTATATAGAGGCCTAAATGTTGTTGAAAATTATGACAAAAACAAATTATGGCACTTTTCGCCAGTAGTCAGCCTCACTTCTCCACAAGTCAGCCATGTCTTACCCTGTAGTCAGCCTCTCACTTATTCTTGCATATTTGACATAAAAATTCTTTATTATATATATTTTCATATATTTCCCCAGCGAATTCAGTACAGTTT